ATCGTAATCTTTAATCATTCCATCTTTTACTCTGTCTTACAAACCTTAATCCTGTTCTTCCTCTTCACCACAACCTACGATCCCTCTACCCCTTTATTTTTTTCCAAGGCACTCACCTCTGTACTGGCTATACTTCCCTATATTGACTCCTTGGTGATTCAGTTCAATTCTATGCTGTCATCCGTACTCAAATCCTTTGCCCCCTTATCCTTTCCTTGATCATGCCTTGCATTATTCTCACCATCCACCATCCATTACACCCCAATTTTGTATTACTCCCACCATCCACCACATGCTGCTAAACATGTGTCCACTTCCAATTTACTTGACTCTCAACTGGGTCCTCACTCAAGCCTCCCATGGCACTGCTCCACTCTCCCACCCCCACCCCCCATCCTCCCAGCTGAAAAAATTGAGCCCATTCATTGAGAACTCCTTATCTCTTCCTTATAATACCATCTTCTTCCATTATATCTTCTTTCACTCCTGTCTCGCGTGAAGAAATGGGCTTTCTCTTTGCCAAGGCATGTATCCTTGATTCCATTCTATTCTGCCTTTTGCAACAGATCAGCCTTTCTGTCATCCTTACTCTCTTTCTAATCTTCAACTTCTCTTTGCCTACTACCTGTTTCCCCTATGCCTTCAAACATGCACATGTGTCCCCCATCTTCAAAAACCGTCACTTGATCCTACCATCTTTGCTAGTTGTCATTCTATAGCTCTTATACTTTTTTCAGCTGAACTTCTTAAGACAGCCTTCTACACTAGGCACCTGCACTTCCTCTCCTCTCAATCACTTCTAAAACATCTACAATTTGACTTTTGACTTCATCGTTTAACTAAAACTACTCTCTCCAGTGTTAGCACTGATCACTTAATTGCCAAATCTAATGACTTTTTTCATTCCCCATCCTTCTTGATTTCTTTGCAAGTTTTGACACTATCAGTTACTCTCTTTGATTTTTAGGGAGTTTGTTGGTTGGGCAAGGTTTTGTACTTCTTGTGCCAAGCTATTACTTCTCTTTTCAGTTCTTTCTTCCATAGTTCTCTTTTCTTTTCCATTTTTCCCCTTTAGTGCTGTCATTTCATTTATGAAAAACATTTTTTAACTTTTTCAAAACCCTCTTGTTTTATGTCTTCCAGACATAAAACCCTCTTGTTTTATGTCTTCCAGAAATTCTGTGAATTTGTGCCCAAGCTGTGTTTTTCTTTGAGAGTTTGCTTGTAGCTATTTTAGAATTATTTTCTCCTTCTGGATTTCTGTCTTGAGCATCTCTGTCACCATAATAGTTTAATGGTATTCTTCTTCTTTTTTTTGCCTAATGCCTCTGGGAACTTCTAGAGGGAATGTCTAGGTTGGTTCTGCTGCTGTTTTCTTGGGGTATTGAGTGTTGGATTATTCCTGGCTCTCAGGGACAGCTCAGGCTGGGATGCTCCCAGAGCAGTCTGATCCAGAACAGAATCTGATGGCTGCCCCTTTGGTCTGAGCTCTTCAACTTCTTGACCTGGATTTGAGTCTGAGCAACAGGCCTGTGGGTTTGCCACTTTTGGAGTTTCAGTAGTTTGCTGCCGAACTCAGCCCTTACCAGCCAGCGGGAAAGCTCTACTGATCCAGAAAGATCTGCAGGCTCCCCTTTGGTCTGGGATTTCTGCCCTGGTTATTCCTCTGTAGGCGTCAGGCTGGATTAGAACTGAGATGGAACTGAGCCCTTGCTCTGCTCCTGGGCTTCCGAGTCTTCTTGCTTCTGAACTTGCTCCTCTCACTCAGTACATAATGTAGAGTGTATGACTACTCCTTCCCCTAACATGCCGCTCCTAAGCAGTGGTTCCTTCCTTAGGTCTCCCTGGATCTGTGACCTGGAACTGGTTAGTGAGTAACAAAGATGAGGATTTAGCACCTGTTTTCACAGCCTGCGTGAGGTCATGGTGTCCCAATATGGGTGTGGGACCTCATCTTGTCTCAGTGCACAGCCCTGTCCTCTTTTGGTCCCTGAGTGCATACTCTGGCCAGACCCTGTCCCCTGTGTCCCTAGACCTCTGACTGCCTTCCTATGCTCACCTGTGCTAGAAGAATGACTCACTGTGAGTAATTTTATTCTATTTCTTGATCAGGATTCAGTCTAATGTGTTTTCTAGATCTGTTAAGAAGAGGGTGATTTTTTTTGGAGCCCACTCTGTTTCTTCCTGCTGCTTCACCGTCCTGGCTCTGTTCCCTCTTCTTCCATTTTAAACATTTCCAGTGCCTTTGGCTGATCTCATATGACCTGAACTCAAGGCCCTTCACCATCTTGGTTGCCCTTCTCTGATTGGTAAGCCCTCCAGCTTACCAATGTCTTTGTTAAATTGTGTTGCCCAGAGTACTCCACATGTGGTCTTATCAGGGCCAAGTATAGAGTGATCATTCCTGGAAACTATATCTTATTCCTATACCTTATATAAAAAATATATACTTTACACCTAGTCCTTATTTTTGGATGCTATACTTCTTGATGCAGCTCAAGTTTACATTTGCCTTTTGCCTGCCACATCACACTACTGATTCATATTTTCAATCCACTAAACTCCCGGATCTTTTTTCAGAAAAAAATTGCTGTATAAATTGCCTTCCTTTGTCTGATTCTTGCAAAATTGAATTTCTTGAACCCAAGCATAAGGCTTTATGGGCAGCTAGGTGGCACAGTGGATAGAGTGCTGCTGGGCTTGGAGTCAGAAAGACTCGTCTTCATAAGTTTAAATCTGGCCTCAGACACTTACTAGCTATGTGACCCTTGGCAAGTCTCTTAACACTGTTTGCCTCAGTTCCTCATTTGTAAAATTAGCTGGAGAAGGAAATGGTAAACCACTCCAGTATCTTTGCCAGGAAAACCCCAAATGGGGTCAGGAAGAGTCGAACACAACTGAAAAACGACTAAGCAACAAAAACAAGACAATGTTTACTCCTATTGAATTTCACCTAAGTAGATTTAGCCTAATGCTCTAGCCTGTCAGGATCCATTTTGGATTCTGACTTTGTCATCCAGTGCAGTGGTAAGAGCCTTGGATTTAGAGTTAGGGGACCTAAGTTCAAATCCTCACCTTGCCACTACTTGTAGTCTTGGGCAAGTCATTTCTCCTCTCTGGGCCTCAGTTTCCTCATTCATAAAGTAAAAATATTGGACTCAGTGGATGTGGACTTCTAAGGTCTCTTCCAGATCTCTGATCTCCACCATTAATGAGCATGCCATCAATGCCTTGATTCAAGTCATTGTTCAAAGTGTTAAACGTTAGCCCAAGGTCAAACATTGCTCCTTAGAGAATTCTTCTGGAGACTTCCTGCCAAGTTGTCTAGAAGAACAATATGTACAATCACTCCAACAGTACGAATGAAAAGATCCCCCAAAGGAAGCTGGCCTGGGAGTAATTGAAAAGCCAATAATGGTCCCAGAGAACAGATAATGAAACCTACTACCTTCCTTTGAGGAGCGAGGCCGGGACTTCAAGGATAGAATGTTGCATGCACGTAACGTTATCAGAAATAGTCACTGTATTAGTTGTCTTAGCTTATCTCCTTTTCTTTGTTATAAGGGAGGATTCAGTCCCCAGGGTAGAGGGGGCAGCATGTACCCCAAAATGACCCTGATGTTAAAAATACAAGGTATCAATAAAATGTATTTTTTTTAAGTAATGGACTGGTAAGTGAGATTGCTACTCACATGTGACATCAGTCCCCTTGCTCTTTGTTTGTGCCTGTTCCCTTCTATCCTGTCTCAGCTGTTGTCTTTATCCTCTTTCAAAGCTTGCTTGAAATATCACTTTTTCCAAGAAACCTCTTTGGTAGGTGAAAATTGAAAACCTGTGAAAAACCTGGTTTAAAATGGATTACTCTTATAAAGTTTGGTCTAGAATGCCTACTCTGAGTGAAGAGCTTGCACCCAACAAAGTAAAACACCCCAAAATGCCAGAGTAAAAGGATGCATTTGTCTTGTCTTGTTGGATTTGCATCATCTTATTGGTAGAGTGGGCAAAGGACTCTGGAGCTGCATTCGAAGCCTGTTTCTGGTGGATGAGATGGCCTGGGGCGAGTCACTCCTCCTCTGGCCTCTCAGGTCCCTTCCAGCTCTGGATCTCTGATCCTGAGAATCATAATGGGTATTCAGAGGGAAGGTAGCATTGGGAAAAGTGTAAGATTTGGATGGTGTGGTGTCTGGGGGAGGAGATTTGAGCTTAATCATATTATGAAAAAAAAACCCACTGAGGAAAAAGGCATGAATAACCTGGGAGTTATCATTGTGATTATTAAAGAGACTTGCCTGACTAGCATAGTTTATTTTTGTTGGAGAATGACTCAAGATAAGACTGTATTTGTAGGGCTGAGCCGGTCAACTAAGAGCCTTAGATTCTTAGCTGAGACATTTGGACTTAATTGTTAAACAGACTCCCCTCCCTTCACACCCCCTTTTCTGTACCATTCTCCTTAGTCAAGATTTTACCACCTTTAGACGATCACTTCTGTGTCTCAGTGATTATGAAATAGGCTTATAACTGGTATGATATTGTGAGATTTGGGTAATTGAGCCTAAGTTACTCCTGCTGAAATGTGATTTCCTCAAGAGCTCCACTCATAATACTACTATGGTATTATAATAGAAATGTAGTAGACTTGATTTCTTTTGATGGGGACTTCCTGGGCTGGAAATGGAAATGCTCGACTTAAAAATGACATTGTTACATCTTTTGTTTTTGTTTTGTTTTTTAGACTATACCTATGATTTTATTGGTCTGGGGAGGCCCCCTCTGCCTGCAGAAATCATCCGTCACCTGTTCTGTACATTCTAGTCTTAGAAGATCTACCCAGAGTCACACAGCCAATGGATGGCAGAGGCCTGGTCTTTCTGCCTCTGAGGCTGGCTCTCTATCATCTACTCCACATGGCCTCTCTTGTGCTTCTCATAGGAGGTGATTTTTTATTTTATCCATTTTCTATAAAAGTCCTAATTTCACCCATCTCTCCATTGCCACAGGCCTTCTGGTTGGGACACTTGATTCAGTCTTAGACTCAACTGCTAAAGTGGCTCCATTTCGCATCCTCCATCAGACACCAGGTTCTCAGGTTTATTGGTCCATCGCATGTGGTAAGTGGGGCTTTGAGAATGTATTTTTCCATTTTAAATGAAGAAGACTAAGAATTTGTCTGTTTGGATCCATCATTTTTATTTTCTAGTTGTCTTGGCTCATGCTACGAAAACCCATCTGTTACCATGCTGGGATATAATAGTAAGATTTTCTGTTATTGTATTTTTGACAAAAATGACATACTACTTTTCTTTTTTTTTAACCCCTTACCCCAAATTCTCATCTGGTGTGGAGGGCAGTCCATTAGCAGTACAGATTCTCGCCCTGCCATACTAGCCCCTCTTTCAAACCTAATCAGTCAGTCAATAAACATTTATTAGGCACCTGCTATGTGCCAGGCACTGTGCTAAGCAGCGGGGATACAAAGAGGCAAAAAACAACCCTTGCTCTCCCAGTCTAATAAGGTAGACAACATGCAAACAACTGTGTACAAACAAGCTATAGACAGGATTGATAGGAAATAATTAAGAGGGATTGGGAAAAGCTTCCTGTAAAAGATGAGATTTTAGCTGGGACTTACATGGAACCAGGGAAACCAGTCCTACTGCCATATTACTTCCTCTTGCTCATCCTTCTGTACCTTTCTGGGTGTAGCCCTGGGGAAGATAAAGATCCTAACCCAGAAGTTCTTCCTCCTTCCCCGCCCCAATAATCCACACACTGACAATCTGACATTGACTCTGCCAGTCAATAAACATTTATTAAGCACCCACTGTGTGCCAGGCCATGTGCTAAGCTCTGGGGATACAAAAAAGGCAAAAGACAGTCCCTGCCCCCAAGGGGCTCACAATCTAATGGTAGAGACAATAAGCAAACAAATTCTGTACAAACAGGCTATATATGGGATGGACAGGAAATAATCAGTGGAGGGAAGGCACTAGAATTGGGGTTGACATGTGAACCTGCCAGATGAACCTCTTATACATGCTCACTTAACTTTAGAGTGTGTGTGTGTGTGTGTGTGTGTGTGTGTGTGTGTGTGAGAGAGAGAGAGAGAGAGAGAGATATGCCCTGTTGACATATGAGGAACTATATAGCAGGGGAAATGTTCACCAGGATTTTTAGCTAACAATATTCAGATGTTTGTTTTGAAATCCAAATCACAGTGACTGCTTGTTGCTTAGTTTTTTATGCCATTGTAATATTGGTCTAATTAGATTCTGAGATTTCTACCTTCCCTTTTTAAAATTGAATGTGAGACTCCTTTGTTTTCTTTTGTGAGTAGGTGTTCCTTCCCAAGCTGCACATGACCTATGAATTTCTGCAGTTCATATATGTAGATGAAGAATGTATGACTTACATAGAGACAAATATGCCTCTTGTTTTCGGGCTTGCTATTTCATTCTTCAGTGTGACTGGCAGATTGCTTCCTTTCTGACTCTTTTTTAAACCCAACGCTGCATCTGGCTTTTGTGGTCATGAGCCTCCTGACGCGTTGGTAACAAAGGTTTAACATCTGTCCATATAGAAATCTATCTTCTTTGACCATTTTTTTTTCTGAAAAAGAAACACGTACATTACCTACTCTGAATGAACTAGAGTCAAAGAGGGATAAGGCCCGTTGACTGAGCGGCATTATCCTTCTTTCTAAAGAGCCAGAAATGAGCATGTTCAGGAAGGCCCCTTCAGCTTTGAAATGGCAGTCATAACAGACTGTCCTAACACATTTGGGGACTGCCTTTTATGGATCTCTATTATGTGTACACTTGACCCATTTCAAAAATGTAAGATTCTTTAAAGGAAAAAGATGATGCTTGCCAGGATTAATTTCCACATGCATCAAAATGCTCAAAAACTGGACTAGGAGAACCAGGGGCTATAGCACTATACTGATGGAGAAAGTGATAGATGGCCCTTGTTGCTTAATGGACAACTTTATTTAGGATCAGATTGCAACAGCTGGTTCCTCTATGTGTCTGTGTGTTAATGGGTCCCTTTCCAATCATTAAGTAATGCAAACATGAACCCTCTCCATCTGTGGGGAGACAGACCGCTCTTCAGCATAAGAAACAACTATATCATCAAATTGCATAAAGCTATTATTGCTTGCCACATTTCCATTGTTCTTTGAATAATAAGTCTTTGTTTCCACAGCTCTAATCTGGAATTGATAGAGAGGAAGAGGCCTCCCCCCTCCCTAAATATTACTTCTGATCAGTTACTACTCAAAATAGAAATGTGAGCTGACATTCTCAATTGATGTAGTTACATTTGATGCTTTCTCCTTCATAATAAGCACGGACTTCTTAGGGAGGGAGTGCTTCACAGCCCCCCCCCTACTTGTTTTGTTCAGATCCCCAGCTCTCACTGCTCTCCCCCTTCTGCCTGAGAGACTGTTTCATCCAAAGACACCTACTTAGCAGAGAGGAAAAAACAAACCAAACCAAATCCTTGCCATCAAGGAGCCAAGCTATACAAGACTCCAGTAATTGCTTTTTGAAAATATAATAGGGACATCAGAGCTTGGCAGCTGTATTAGGTAGAAACCATGTGTTTGGCTGTGGGTGGGTGTGTGGGCGGCTGGGTGTGTGGGTGTATGTTAAAGTTGCTGTATGAACATGCCAGATTAACCTATTCTAAGCAGTCACCTAGCTTGCTTTAAGAGGTAGCATGTCCCAGAGATATATGAAGTATGTATATGCCTATGCATATTGTAAATATGTACACACTTAGGCACCATTATAAATACATGCACAGAGGCAGATTATAAATATACAGATCCACAGGCCCATTGTAAATGTATACATATGGGCATATTGTAAATATATGGGCACACATGACATATGTAAATTTGTGCATATACATACATCAGCACATATATATATATATATATATGGAGAGAGAGAGAGAGGTACATTTGTGTACATTGTGAACATACAGGCACACTTTTGCATATTAGAAATGTACATCTGGGCACGCTTGTATACGTTATAAGCATATGGGCTCACTTGGGCATGTTGTAAACATATGGGTATACATGTTGTAAACATATGGGTATACATGGAAATATATGGGCATATAGGAATAATAGAAATGTACAGGACACTTATGCATACAAATATACATGTGGGCATACTTGTGCATATTTAAACATACAGGCACACTTGTGGATATTTTAAATATATAGGCACACATAGGCATATTTTAAATATATACCTATGGGGGCAGCTTGGTTGTACTGCAGTGGATAGAGTACTGGGCCTGAAGTCAGGAGAACTCATCTTCCTGAGTTCAAATATGACCTCAGATCCTTCCTAGCTATGTGACCCTAGGCAAGTCACTTCACCTTGTTTGCCTCAGTTTCCTCATCTGTAAAATGAGATGGAGAAGAAAATGGCAAACCACTCCCGTATCTTGGCCAAGAAAACCCCAAATGGAGTCACTAAGAGTTGGACACGACTGAAAACAACTGAAGAGCAACAAATATATACCTACTCGTGCAGTCAGTCAACAAGCATTTATTAAGTGCTTATTTACTATGTCCCAGGCATGTTCTGAGCACTGGGAATACAAAGAAAGGCAAAAATAATCCCTGCCCTCAAGGAGTTGCCAGTCTAATGGCGGAGATAACATACAAACAACTGTGTTTAAACAAGATATGGACAGGATAAATGGGATAATCACAGAAGGAAGCAAGTAGCATTAAAAGGGACAGGGAAAGGCTTCCTGCAGAAGGAGGGATTTTAGCTGAGACTTGAAGGAAGCCAGGAAAGCTAGGAGCCAGAGACAAAGACATGGCATTCCAGGCATGGAAGACAGCCATTGACAATTCGTGGAGTAGGGAGACAGAGTGTTTTGTGCTCTCATCAACAGGGAGGCCAGTTTTACTGGGTGCTAGGTTCTTGGAAAGGTAGGAAGGGGCCAAGTTATGAAGGATTTTAAAAGATAGGATTTTTATATTTGATCCTGGAGGTAATGGGGAGTTAAGTGGGGGAGGAGGTGACATGATCACATCTGTGCTTTAGGAAGATCATTTTGGTAGCTGAGTGTAGGATGGACTGGAGTGGAGAGAGGCTATTGTAATAGTACAAGCATGACCAAATAAATAAATGAATGAATGAATGAATGAATGAATGAATAAAAGGGGCAGTTAGGTGGCACAGTGGATAGAGCACCAGCCCTGGAGTCAGAAGGACCTGAGTTCAAATCCAGCCTCAGACCAGATACTTGACACTTACTAGCTGTGTGACACTGGGCAAGTCACTTAACCCCAATTGCCTTACCAAAAACAAACAAATAAATAAATAAATAGTACAAGCATGAGGCCTGTACTAAGGTAGTGGCAGTGTCAGAGAAGAGAAAAGGAGGCATATTCAAGAGATGATGTGAAGGTGAATGGATAGAACTTGGCAGTAGAGTGGATATGGGGGTGGGCGTGAGAGAGAAGAAGGGTTCAAGGGTGACACCTAAGTTGGGAGACTGGGAGGATGGTGGTTCCCCTGACAGTAATAAAGAAGTTTGGAAGAGGGGTAGGTCTAGGAAGAAAGATACTGAGTTCAGTTTTTGACATTCTCAATTTAAGGGACATCTAGGTTAAGATGTCCATAAAGGTAGTTGGACATACGAGATACATCAGACTGGGAGCTTCTTGAGGGCAGGGACTATTTTGGGCCTTTTTTTTTTTTTTTGGTATTCTTAGTGCTTAGCACAGTGCCTGATACATAGTAGGTGCTTAATAAGCAATTGTTGATGTGACTTAGTGCACATGTGTACATTGTAAATACAAAGGCACACATAGGCACATTGTAAATGAACTGACATCCATAGGTGCATTATAAACACACACCTAGGCACACACTTATGTATATTATAAGTATATGTATAGGTATATTGTAACAACTTTCTTGTCACAATAGGTTAATAAAGTTCGTGGAGCCCTTATTCACTGCTGCTAAAATATCCATTGCCCTGCTCAAGAATTTTTCTTTCTCCCATTACTATTACTCTCTCTTGCTGAAACAAGTCATAGATTGTACATTTAGACCTAGAAGGGACCTTA